CATTTTTATGGCTTTATTGAAAGGACCATAATGTACTTTCCGCTGACATGCGAAGAGTAAGTGTGGGATAAACTTTTGACCCTCAAGAGGAGGGTTAAACATGGATTTGTTGACTGTTAACAAAGGACTGAACTGCTTTTGCTATTGTGGATGTGAGGCTACAGTTGCACAGTTCAATTGCAAAGGCAAATGTTTGTTGAACAAGGTTTACGATCCAATATATTTATGTCCAATATGTGTATAAGTTGAGCCCAGACGCTCTGCGGCTCTTGTTATATTTTCACAATCAGCTTTTTGTCCCACTTACGTGATGATCTAATGTGGCTGCGAGAAGGCTTTTGCCATATCAATTATAAATAAAGTTTTACATTTTTACATGTCCAATAGTTTGGCAAAAAGTGTTTATGATAGTCTGTAATGGCAATGGTTCATTACATTCAGGCTGTGCCCTATATGCAGTATTGATTCACATTTTTTTTGCACTTTCTGGTGACTTAAGGTGATGTGGTGTAACTCACAAGTAATGTAACTGGGTGTAAAATATGTGTTTCACTTTGCAACTATGGTGATATTACCAGGAATACACAATAAACACAGTTGCTAATTACAATATGCGTTTATTATGCATTCCTGAAATTATGTGATTTCACATAGAAATTATGCAAAATTTTGTGGATGTTGCCACCAAAGTCTGATGTAGCTTATAGACCTGCACTTCAAAATTCCCCGGAGTAAACAAAATGAGCATGAGAAGTTAATAGTCTTCCGTCGCATGTATACTCCTACTTCCTTTGGCAATTGCCACCTTTCAGTGGTTGTCCTTTTTCCCCTTTCCTGCTCGTGATCTCCTTCCTTTTTAATACTTTGTGTAATTACATTAGATGTCCCCGTTCGTAACAATGCGGTGCAGGTTCATTGGCTTTGTATATGTAATAGTTGATGTTCTTGTGTTGTTTTAGCTAACAGACAGAGATGTGACATTAACCAGCACTCAGAATGAACTAACCGAATGTCAGAGTTTACTACTAATCCTACAGATACAGGTGAATCTTCCGCCACTGCAAACTCTGATCGTGAAATAGATCGTAACTACGTTTAAGCTGATGCTCTGCGTCAGATTGTGCATGGCAATTATGAAGCGGCCCATACACGGACAATATTATTGACAATAATATTGTCAATAATGAATATTGACAATATTATTGATCGTTCGTGTGCAATATTGAAGGAAAATTTTGACTTCCGCTATATTCTGATGGAATCAAAACCCAGTAGATATTTATTGAAGGTTCTCATTGTCCACTTATTGTCTCATTGTGCAGATCCGTCTGTTCACCTTCCGCATCAGAACACAAATGACGATATTGCACAATATTATTGTGCCGTTGGTGGCCGACAGAATTTCTTATCAATAATATTGCATCAGTATTATTGTCAATGATATTGTGCATGTATGGGCTATTATTATTAAGCCTCATTGCTACATCCCATGGCAATGCCTGCAGTTTTTCCAAGTGTAGGTATTCATGCAGAGGTGGTTACATTCCCAATTTCGAACGTTTGAGTATGAGTAGGCTGCCATTATTAATTTCCTTTGTATATATATGCATTTTGTGCATCGTGATCTTCATGAAGTTCAACTGTAGTGCTTTCCTCCATCACTAATGAAGGAAGATCCTTATGGGGTGCTCCAAAGCTTAGTTCACAGGAAATTATTGGACCTTTTCTCACGTCTGAAGAGATATTAATCAATGACATTTGTTGATTAAATTACCGAGACAAGCAAAAAAGCCAGGAGGCGTTAAATCCATAAAAAAAATTAAGAAAATCAAAATTAATTCCAAAGAATAGATCATTCCCACACTAACGTTAACTTCTAGAAGGTAATTGTACACCACACCTAATGGTATTTATAGTATACCTCATTAATACCATCATGTAGAGACCACTTTACACGCATGGTTATCTGCAGCTAGGACAAGTACAGAATGAGTTGCGGTCAGCGACCTTGCAGCAGGTCGAGGCGACCTTGCTTGCCGCTAACCGGGCGCGGCAGCGGGAACACCAGTCTCTGCGGCTAGACAGCAAAGTCACAGAGCTGAAGGATCGACTAAAATTCAGGGAGAGCGAGGTAAGTGTCCTGCAGGGGACCATCATCAGAAACAACCTTAATCTTAGTTTTAAATGAATAGAATTTTTTTTGGTAGGTCAAACCTTTATACCGTGCATATGAGAAACTTGTAACTTTACTATGTTTCTGTCTATGGTCTATAAGAAAAAAGTTAGTGTTAAGACTAATGTTAAAACTAATTTTGTTTCTGACAACGGCCCCAGGGTTTTAGATTTATCCACACGAAACTGACCTACCCATCTAGTGTGATTGACAGGAAGCTCTAGCGAATAATTGTGATTGGGGACGTTTTAAAAGACATTGCTCGGAAACTGCAAAATGCTGCAAAATAGGAATTTTTGCGCGCGAATGAAAACTGGGTTCTGCGAGGATTCCCTAGGTTGCATCATTGATGCTTCGCTCCTGCTGAACTGTTCACCTATAATTTAATTACATTGACCTATCCACCTAATTTGGTTGTCAGGAAGCTCTTAGAACATTTTAAAATACATTGCTTGAAAACAAAGTGCTGCAACATCGAATTTTTGCATGCGAATGAAAATTGGGATCCTGCGAGCATTCCCCATGTCGTGTCATCATCATTATTCCATGTCATGTCATCATCATTCCATATCATGTCATCATCATTCCATATCATGTCGTCATCATTCCATGTCGTGTCATCATCATTTCATGTCATGTCTTCATCATTCCATGTCATGTCATCATCATTCCATGTCATGTCATCATCATTCCATGTCATGTCGTCATCATTCCATGTCGTGTCATCATCATTTCATGTCAGTTCGATCCTGCTGAACGGTTTCAAAGCTTGTGTTGACTGTGCATCTGCAGCGAAAGTACGGCTCCGTGACATTTACCGGTTGTTATCCGACACCAGGTGGTGAAGCTTGAAGAGCTAGGGGAGGCTCTCTGCAAGCAGCTGAGCGATAGAACGTTCCAGCTGGACAGCGTGCGCGCGAACGCGCAGGAGCTTCGTAAGGATCTGGTCGTTGCTCGCACCTCAATCCACGAGTCTGAAGCCAAGGTAGGTGTTGTTTTTTTTATCCCATCAGCTCCATTCATAGAGCGTATATACGGCTTTTGCAACGGCTTTGGACTCGTTATAGGCTTTGTCCAGCAAAGCTACTCTCTTTTGCTAAGCTAAAGGTAGGTGTTATTTTTTCCCGTCGGCTCCATCCGTCGACTGTAGGGCGTCCACCATTGTAATGTCTTCGGTTTCATTAACAGGCATTGCTCAGCAAAGCTATTTGCTGTTATGTGGGTGAGCTAATTCGTGGAGCGTAGGGCTTTCACGACTAGTCTGATTTGGATTCGTTAACAGGCTTTGTCCAGCAAAGCTATTAATTTTTGCATGGGCAAGCTTGCCAGCCTTCAGCTGACTGGCAAGATATAGGCATACCTATGGCAGCTGTTGGTTGAAGAAATTGGGATAAAGTAGCTTGCTCAATTAACAGCACAACGGCAGTAGTGACAGGCAGGGTAACTCATATATGAACTCACACTGAGGTCCTGCTATCTGAAACAGGTTGTTTGTATGAAATTGCCAGATATGTTGATTGTTGTTGTTGACCAGTCGGGCCGTGAAAGCTTAATGCGACGCAGTTGTTTTGTTTGTTACATATAAACCAGTCAGCGCCATCATTATAAGCACATACAGAAGTTGATATTTCTGTGCGTGGGGTGCCTATTACGGTTTCCTAAAGGAGTAGCGGTGCAATAATGTTTGTTTAGGATAAAGTTACTCAATATGGCGGGTGATAAGAGGAGGCAACCTGTGGGGGTCAGCAACTGCTGTACTGGTCCCAAAAAAATGGTTACAATTTAATGACTGAAATTGTTTTTTTTATTCACTTTTTTTCAAGCTGTTGTACGGAAATGTTTATTAATGGCTATCACGGCTATAAAAATTCATAAATATTTTAAAACAAATTTACATAGCATATTTCAAATCTTATAACATAGGTTCCTTCCTTCAGACAATTTTTTTGGCCATCGCTACTAGCTCTCCTTAATATAGACACTGTTCTTTATACTAATTTCTCCATGAGGCATTTATGAATATTAATGTCTTCTATTTAGAAAACGAAAAAAATGCAAAAGTACTTTTAAATCCAAAGTTCAACCAAACGTAATTGTGGTGTAGTCGTTCCTACTGGAAACAGGAAATCGTTGATGACTGTGAGTAACTGGCACGATAATATAACATCTGTAAGTGTAACCGTTTTTTTTCTAACAAAATAATTAGACTTCTCCTGTGTTATGTATATTTCTTGTAGGTTACCTCATAGAATATATATGTTCTATGAAATATAGTTATATAGAAATATAAAAATATATTAATCTATTTAATTAGATTCGATTAAATTTAAATAATAGATAATATAGACGATATTCTCATAGAAACACTGTAATGATGTTCACGAGTGCATGTTGGCATGGTAACGTTGGCATGTGTTACGTTATTACGTATGTCGTACTCGCTCCTCATGTTAATCTGATTTTTTGTGCACGTATCAGATCATGCACACGGCAGCAGCTGCTTGCTGTTTATGTTTCTTCACAATGACGTCAGCAGCCAGCCTAAACTCAACACCAACAGCAGTCTATCACTGGTTTAAAACAATTAGGTTAAAACTTAAAGGCATTCTAACTGTACTCGTGGATATCTCTCTCTCTCTCTCTCTCTCTCTCTCTCTCTCTCTTAAAGTTACTTTCTGACTAAAAATAAAAAAAGGTTGCACACTTGTGTATTATTGGCATTTATTCTTGCATTGAATAGGTGGATAGGCTTAAGAAAGATCTGCAGGAAGTGGAGAGTGATTTGCGGGAAGCCAAGCAGCACTTTGCTAGCCAGGTGAGATTTCCCAGATAGATATTTTAATCCATATACAGTGTACCCCCGAGATACGAATTTAATTCGTTCCACAGATTTGTTCGTATCTCGAAAAATGTGTATCTCGAACCCTATATAGGACGTACAGCAATTTACGTACAGCTAGCAGCAAGTGCTATCATGAAAGCACAACCACATTCAATGAGTCACGTACTTAAACTGACTCACCGAAGGAGTGAGCGCTAGGCTTATGCCCTGATTGGCTGATTCGTAAGACGTTCGTATATTGAATTTTATTCGTTTGTCGAATACATTACGTTCAACGGGAGGTCGTTCGTATCTCGCCGACGGTAGATTGCCGACGGGGTATGACGTAGGGCTGATGGCACATTGCGGCAATTTAATAATAGAGGCGATATAGAGATAGCTTTAGATGTGTAATGTGTGGGTTTAAGATGCTAGGGCACGAAAAGACGACCTGCGCTAATGGGCAGTAATGTGGTTATAGTGTCCAGTTTGCAATAAAGCTATAGCACAAACTACATGTGGCTAGTGTGCAGCGTGAAAACTAACGGTGTGTGTGCGGTTGCACCCCAGTTGTCTATTAGCAGCTGTTTATGTGTCCAGCAGTCCGGAGATAGATCATTGCTTCTAGCCAGCTGGTATGGTGTAAAATTAGCATGTGATGTGTGTGAGCTGGTATTAGATGCTTTCGCGGAATGACATTAGCGTTGCTACAATATAATCAGGAGTAAGATAATATAGGATACTCCTATATTATCTTACTCCTGATATAATGAATACTTGAATACTTTGAAATGCTATTTCTCAATAATATCATGAATGCTTACATTCGTGATATTATTAAGAAGGCCAAATTTGTTACAATTACTGTTGATTGTTTAATGTTAACGTTAATTGTTTAAAATAGGGAGATAGTCGTTAATAGTAATTAAAAAGTAATAGTAATCATAATGCAAAATAGTGAAGGATTGTTTGCAGATAGGTACCAACGTGTGAGTGTTTGTTTGTCAGGTAGCGGAGGCAGAGGAGGAGATATTCCAGCTTCAGAAGAAGTGCTTTCAGCTCGAGGACAAACACAAGCTAGCATTGCAGACGATTGCTGAGAGAGGTGCATCAATGCGGGAGCTCAGGGAGGAACTAACACAAACACAGGCCAAGGTTTGCCAGCCCATCCTAGAGCAAAACCATCTTATCATTTGTTACAGAATATTTGCTATATGTGAAAATTAAGTGAATATTGGTGGCTGAAGGGGAAATCTTTGCAACTCATGGTCACTGCTAAAAGTCTTAAATGTCTCAAAAATCAGAGAAAAATGATAACTAATGATTAAAAATAATATGGCATCTTGGCAAACCATGTAGGCCTATGCACCAATTATATTTAATTAGGGATATGTGTATAGTATGCTGATGATATTTATTATTTTTCCACGTACTCTCAACTGATCACAATGTCTCCCAAATCTTCTCTTTTGGCCACATATCAAGGAAACCCTCGTGTGAACGTGGCAATGTATAATTAATGTATATTTTGTAATTAATATTTTAACAGCTTTATGAGAAAGACGAGAGCATTAGGCAGTTGAATGGCGAGCTTTCTGATTTACAAGTTCAACGTCATTCCTGTATTGAAGAGGTATGCTGCACTAAATCTTATACCACACTTGATATGCAGGACATTAAGACCATTAAGAGCATTAATTATGCTTAATTAATTTGATTTGAGTGAATTGTGAGAATTAAGCTGTGACTGCACTGATATGTAGCGACTGGTGTGTGCTGTGCAACAAGTGAGTGCCTTCACCTAAGCATCTGTTGACTGATGACATATTTGAGTAGTTCATTTATCTGAACTGAACTGCTCTAACTGTGAAATCTGAACTCGCTTCAAAATCGAACCTTGACATTTCTGCACTCATAAATAGTTACGAATTCGCTTAAAATATGTGTGGTTATAGTATGTCTGTCTCGACATCTTCATCTACATCTACATCACGTAGTTGCTCCTTA